TTTGAAAAGTGATTTCTGTTAAATAAAATATCTCCTTTTGATTTCAACTTTGAGCTTTGTAACTTTGCAGATCTTTTTTATGCTCAAACAGCAACATTACAGACTAACTAAAGTTGAAAGTGAAAAAGCATAACAGGATCCTTTTAAAGACACAATGTTTGATGGATGTTGCGGTTGGTTGGTATGTGGCTGATGGGGTTGTAAATAGTTTTTAGTGCACTGTTATAGCCATTGCTAGGTGTTTTGGGTGATTGCAAGGTGATTGCTACCTGCTCCAGGTCAAAATAGCCCACCATCAAATCCAGCATTAAGACATTCTGCTCTTGAGATATACCCCACATCAGTGTTATTTTTGAATTATTTATGTACAATTATATTATTTATTAATATTTTGAATTTTTTTTTAGCTTTCATGTTTATGTATTCAGTTTTCATCTTATAATTAGTGTAAGTTTTATTAATTATATACGCTTTTTAAAATAGCTTTAAATATTTAAAAAAATATTTAGCTTTTTTTTTTTTTTCGTTTTCGTTTTTAGTACTTTAACTTAAAATTATTTCAGTTTGTTGCTAAGGCAAAATTTTAAAATTTAAAATTTAATCTAAGTTTTTTTAAATTCTAAGAATTACATTTTATTTTATTTTACCATTAATTTCAGTAATTTTAGTAATTTAACTTAAACTTATTTATTTATTTCAGTTAGTTGCTAAGGCAGCATTCACATTTTTTACATTTTTTATTTAATAATTATATTTTTGTTTCGCTTTAATTAATTTTAGTACTTCAACTTAATGTAACTGTGTGTCCCTTCAGAATGATTCCAAAACTAATATTTCAAGGTAAAACCCCCCTGAAATATTAGTTTCAAAATCATTCTGATGATACATTGACTTTTAATAAGGCAAATGACTTCCGTTTCTTTCCCATGTTCCCTCTAATTATCTATTCTGGAAGTATGCAAGTTTGGTGAGCAGGTATGAAATAGATGTTTTTTTGAGTTTAAGCTTCTCATCTATTTTATTTCAGCTTTCAACTTCTCAGCAAAACAATTTTCAATAGTTTTAGTAGTTTCATTAACAGTAACAACACTAGCTCAGATGCCTTCTTCAGTGTAGATCTTTGGGTTTTTTCACCTGTTTCATTGTCCAGTAGGTGAAAAAGTCAGTTTGCTTAGAAAAATAGAACATCTTAGAACTTCTGTTTTCATTAAAGGTCCCATATTGTCAAAACTGAAATTTCCTGGCTTTTTTCATGATAACTGAGGTCTAGGTGCTATGTAACTACGACCTGTTCTCAGCAGAGCTCCTGAAGAAGGAGCTGTATAAATATATTGAGATGTTTTTTGGTACTTATACCGCAAATATATATTCTTAAGGACATCAAAACCTAAAATAAAACTCCAGAAAGGTGTACAATATGGGACCTTTAAGAAATGAATTACATTCACATAGAACAAACAGATGCTGAAATTTAGGGTTTTGGGGATGGCGAAGTTTAAGGAATTGAAATAAACCCAAGCAAGCATCACATATTTTAATAGCTTTTTGAATATAGGAACAAAAATGTTCAGTTCCAGTCTTTGCGGTGCCATATCTCACTATAAATCTGTTATAAAATCAATGTGAGGAAGTGAGAACTCAGCTTGAGAGAAAGCGCTGTGCTCTCGGCTCTTGTGAATGTGTTCTCGGTCAACATGAGCAGAAAATTAGGGTGACGTCTTGCATAGATTTGACTTCATAGGTCTGACTTCATACAAAAGGAGACATCATTTCCAAACCAGATTGGACTCTGATTCAAAAAAAAATCTATAACTGTCTGCTCAGGGCTGTCTTTTTCAGGCAGGCATTGATGTGCCCATCACCCCGTTCTTTATCGTTGCACTCATTTTCTCTCAATTGTGTAGATATGTTGTAATATTATTATGCGTCACTTGGTCTAAGTGCTGTGGGAGACGGCAGCGTAATTGCGTCACGAAAGACAATGAGACACTTGGAAGATGCTACTTACTTTGGCAAGACTAAGACCTGCACTATGAAGATGCAGAAGAAAATGAGACAAGCACACGTGACGTAGTACTTGAAGGCAGGCAGATTTGTGGCTCTGTACTGTTAGAAGAAAAAAAAGAAATATCTCAGCTCTTTCTTTTTTCAATAAGTCTTTGTTCTGAGGTGTTTTTCTCACAATGAAGCACATACAGTATTTGCCATTCAATGACACATCTCAAGGTGGAATGTACCTCTTTTTCAAGTGTCTTATTATGAAAGAACAGAGATATCCTTTGAATGTCCTCTGACTTCAGCCACTGTCTGGTGGAAAGAAAGCATTAATTAAGTCATTTAATAACAATTAAATTCTCATTGTAACAATGAATCGCTATTATAATAGCTTGTTGAGTGATACTGATGCAGGAAATGTTCTGAAAGTGAAACAAAAGGACAAATATGTGTTATATTGTATATTGAGCTCCAAATCGACCACTAATGAAAATGCTTCTATTTTACATTTTTCTATTTAATATAAATATAAATAATTATTTAATAAGTATAAATTTTAATTGTATTATTTCATATTATATAAATAATTGTATTTGTTGAATTAATTTATTAGTTTTTATTTATTTTACTAAATACATTTTAAATGAAAAATTTTAAATAAAAAAATATATTAAATAAAATAAATATAAAATATATTAAATAAAAAATTATTTAATAAATATGTGAATAAATATTTTTTTACATTTTTCAAAATCAAACAACTTTCTTTTCTTTTTCCTGATTTAAATAAGATTTTGAATCCCAGATTTTCATTGTGAGGTCAGACTTGTTCCTTGTTATCATTTAGCTATTTCATGTGTTGTTTTGCAGGGAATTCACGAGTTCCTCCTCCATATGGATACAGAGCATTGGGATGCTCACTTCTGTGAGTTGATGCCATCAATAGTGCGAATGATTCTTTCGTTCAACTCCTCTTCAAATCTCTTTTTCTGTGATTTTGTTCTGAAAGGGAAGAAAAAAGAGGGCGAGAGACTAACCAACCATGGAAATGTAAGTGAGGTCAGTGTGAACGTTCTGAAAGGTTATTCACTTGAATTTAGATTTTTGCTTTTTTTGTTATATAAAGCAATGAACAGTAAAAAAAACCCAGACCTTTCAGACCTTTGTTGAAAGTTGTACTGCCCCAATGGCACATCCTGTAAGAACAAAATGGAACAGACGTAATTAATAGAGCACTATTAAATGCTTCCAGCAAAACTAGTCCTGATGACTGTAATCACGATGACTGTATTTTTTGCATGTGTGCTCAGGTTGACTCACGTGTGTGTTGATCTTGCCGTTCTCGTTGGTCATGCTGTCTCGATGGTGGAGGTTAGCAAACGGTTTGGCTGCTCCCCAGGACTCAAGGTACTGCGTCATGCGGACAGATGCCCTCATCTTGACCCCATCCAGAGTGGTGCGAAGACGAGCAGGTAGCGGGGGACTCCGTTTTTCTACCTACGCATGAAGTACAACCATAGCATGAAGTACAAGTCTAAATAGGCTAGAGGTGTTACGGCACAGAAATCCCAAAAAATCGGACAAGAATATGTACTGAAGTGGTGGGTCACAGGTGTGTTTTGTAATACATTTTTTTATATTCAAGTGCATTAAGTGATCTGATACTGATTTTCAGTAAATGTTTGTATACTATGGATCCTAAACAATTTTGGTACTGTGTCAAGTCTGTATGGCCTACTTTTTTACAGCAACTTGACTCGATGGCAGTCGTTCATTAGAATAAATAAAAAAATGCAAATTGGCATTAACTGAACAACAGGGTGATAAAAGAAAAGAGAACAACTAAACAAACAAGCAAAAGCCCTCCAAACTCAAATGCAGTCATCATAATGGCAGTGTGGAAGGAGTGGGTGTGCAGTGGGTTGTTCTCATAAGAAGGCCGAAAGGCTCAAACTGAACAGAAATAAATGTATGAGTCTCTTATGAGAAAAATGTGCTGCTTTTGTTACCTCGGGCAAAGCAAATGCATTGTTGAAAAGTAAATAAGGCACCGGATAAATAATAAAAATAAATAAATAGAAGAATAGGCATTGTTATTTGAATATATGGTGCCAGGCATTATAATATCTGTGGGCTGAAAAGCCCACACACATCTGAATGAACGGATATTCAGGAATCTTCTGGGTCTTGATGCCAGTTTCCTCGAACTTGTGTTTTGATAAACACTCTCCCCAGGGCTGTGAAATATGACCACAAAGGCACGTTTGTGTAACCGCAAAGTTTAAATACGGGAATTATGCTAATTAGCGCTCAAGGTGAATTGAATGCAATGCTAATTTGAAAAGTAATTTAACTGCTTCAGTTGCATAACTAGACACATTATGATATGATTTATTAACATACATCATACAGCAGGTGTTTGTTCGGCTATGATTAATAATTTTCTGGGTAATAAACAGACATTTTTGTTTTTTATAATTATGTTATTTATTTAAAAATGGTTTTATTGTTTCCACAATAATTATTATCATAGCTGATGTTTGTTATAAACCCCTAACATGATTAGAGCCAGTAAAAAACCTCTAGCAAACACAAAGCAAGAAAATGTAAATGTCTAGTTATTTATAAACGTGAAAGCTGGACTGAGTCATTTTTTACCTTCGGGGTGATGACAAGGTACGTGACGATGCCGTGCTCTTTCAGGTAAGAATCTCTGCTTTGTCCGTTGCCTGGCTCGACTTGATACGCTCCTTTCAAATGTTCCAGTGTTACAGAAGAGATGTGAACTCGTCTGGAGAGGAGCACACAACTATTACAGGATGGCGAATGAAAGAACACTTCACAAAAACAGGTGCATTATGTGAGTATTTCACAAATGTTCCAATGCCTGCAGAGACAATAGAGTCGAGATATAAAAAATAAATGTAGTGCTTTGCGTTTCTGTTATTTTTTTGAGTTATTCAACGAACACTCATTAGTAGCACAAAAGCACATTCATTGTGCTCTCAAAAAAGCATTTCTATTAACGTCAAGAACCCTCCACGAGCATAATAGCACTTATGGCAAATATGTGAAAATCGTGAAATGGGGAAAAACAAAAGTCATATGCTGATCTTACCCAGGTACACCCCCCGCCTCCATGTGATTGGCCAGGGTGACGTCATGTGACCAAACATCATACTGCCATTTCTGGAGGCCGATCACACCGCAGAGAACATTCCCAGAGTGCACTCCAACACGCATGTTAATGTCAACCCCGGTAGCATCTCTCACCTTCCTGAAATAACAAGTAAAGTTTGCTCATTGTTTACTATTACTATACATTTTAAAATAAAAAAAAATAAAAAATCATTTTGCCACAAGTGTAATTGAATATGTATTTATGTATTTCATATATGTATTTATGAAATTCATTTAGATAAATTTGATTATTTAATCAGCATATTATGAATTGAATTATTTAATAAGCATGTAATTAATTCAAAATGTATTTTAATCAATTATCAGAATTAAAATGTATAAAAAATATTCTTAAAAGTATATAAAAATATATTTAAAAAGTATTTTTTATTACAAAGTTTTTAAAGAAATGTATGTGAAAGCACAATTAATATTTGTCTACTAAACTAATTGTAAGCATAAACCTTTAGATCGAAAGGTTTTTTTTTTTTTTAAATCATGAGAAACATAAATTTGGATACTCTTGACGGACTATTTTATGTAAATAAGGCAAGTTTTCTTCCAGTGTCATGAAAGATATTTATTTTACAGCATGTACACACTTCAGGCTCTCCCTCCATTCTTTGAAATGACTGAAACAGCACCATATTTCACTGACACAACTCAGCTTAACACCAGAAATATTTATAGCAAAGTAAATATCAGAAGGTGCCAAGACTGCAGCGGTACGTGTTGGTTTATGAGGAAGTGTGTCTGGTGCCTGTGTATATATTCATTCAGCACACAGAACGTTTCATCTTGTGTTTTAGATAAGCTAGTTTGAATGTTACCATGTCCCTGCTGCACAAAACAGTTCAGACCAGCATGTTTTTTTTTATGTGGGCTGGGTTAAGCTAGTTTGGTTCTGGTCTAGTTTGTGGACCAGTATAAAATTGCTTAACCTGCTAAAAAATAAATAAATATAATAAAATAAAAAAGTGCATGGCACCCCTGGAGGTGTGTGTGTTTCTGACAGATCATTTCAGTGAATCTGTCACACACCATTCTTATTTCTAGGAGCCCCTCAACCTGAGCTATGTTATGTTGGAAAATACACTGAAGGGTTCTCAATAACCCCCTAAAATGGATTTGTGTGTGTGTGAAAGAAAATGATTGCAGTAGCGTAACGGAAAGCAAATGTGTGGCAGAAGAGCGGAAGAATGAAGAATGGGTGAGGAATCGTGAAAGGGACTGGAAAAAGGGGCTGCACTTTGAGCTGGAGAAAGGAGAATGTGTGGGTTTCAGCAATATCACACATCTGAGCCTCTTGAGTACGAGCGTTATTTCAGCCTCAGAGAGTAGTGCTTGAAAAGACAGACACCATGGGATAAAACAACACAGAAATGGTCCCTTGTAGATGATGAAAGGCTATAATGTGACAAACAGCTCATGTGTAGTGGTTTTAGGGCTTTTAAGCAGATCTAACTCTATGTGACTTTTTGTTCTAATGAAGAAATGGAAAATGGATAATGTGCAGCTGGTCATTATCTCAAAATAAATCCTGATAAGCACTGGCTTATGGGATGCCCAGCAGGTGTTCCGCAGGCTGGCAACCTTAGGCAACCTTACGGCATTGTATGCCAATTACATTTAGGTTAAATTTGCCTATTAAGACCGAATTTTACATGGTGTTTGCACAGACATTTAAACAAGCACAGCTATGTAGGAAACTGAAATTTCCTGTGACAAAGGTCAATTATACAGTTTAGTGGTTATTATGCAAACATATTTCAGTGCAGATTGCTGTGATGGACCAATTATAATCTAGTTTGAGAAAGACTTTTACTTGATGGCCTCACACATGTCCAGCCCCATCTTCACACAGTCCTTGGCATGATCAGTCAGCGGGTCTGGCAGCCCTGACACACAGTAATAGCAGTCGCCCAGGATCTTGATCCGCATGCAGTCGTTATCCTGCATCAAACAAACCATCAAGGCAGCAGGTGTAGTAGACATTATATTGTGTACAGAAAAAAATATGAATATCATATCAATATATCATCATGAAAGCATGTCATTATTAGGAGAGAGACTGGGCCTAACTGTCACTTTAAAGTTTGACAATTAAGTACTGGTTTCTCCTATGCCCGTTAGGCCAATACCTTGGCTATCTGGTCAAATTTGCCGAAGAGCTCATTGAGCATGTAGACAAGTTCTCCAGGTGAACAGTCACTGGCCAGACGTGTGAATCCAACAATGTCTGCATACAGAATGCTGTGGAAAATAAAAAAATGTTCAAGAAAAAGAGAATTATGCAAACTGGTAAAGAGCATGAAATGATGCTTTTCGCAATTAATACACACCTTGCAAATAATTATTTTCTAAATAAGCATTTTTCTTGTTTTCCAGTATCGAAAAATCCTTTAAAATACAGCAGTGTAGACCAACAGCATCTGTGATACTGCTCTTATACAACAGTTTATGAAACTGAAAAACTTCTAGATACAATATTGGCAGTTATTTTGTCTATTTTTTCTCACTCAAAGGAAACAATTCTAAACAAAGCCACAGCAGAATCAACTGTTTTGTTAAAACTCAATCATAAAGACAGTCACTTGTTTTGTTCCTAAATGAATATGTATTTATATTTTTCAGTGATTTGTTGAGTGATTGATTCAATGACTCACTCATAAAGAGAGTTATTTGCTTTGTTCCTGAATGAATCTGTTTTTTTCAATGAATTGTTGAGTGAATGATTTAATGACTCACTCATAAAGAGATCAGCTTGTTTTGTTCCTGAATTAATCTGTTTTTCAACGAATTGTTAAGTGAATGACTCAATGACTCACTCACAAAGAGAGTTATTTGTTTTATTCCTGAATGAATCTGTGTTTTTCAATGATTTGTTGAGTGAATGATTCAATGACTCACTCATAAAGAAAGCAACTTGTTTTGTTCCTGAATGAATCTGTTTTTAAATGAATTGTTGAGTGAATGATTCAATGACTCACTCATAAAGACAGTTATTTGTTTTGTTCCTGAATGAATCTGTGTTTTTCAATGAACTGTTGAGTGAATGATTCAATGACTCACTCATAAAGAGAGTTATTTGTTTTGTTCCTGAATGAATCTGTGTTTTTCAATGAACTGTTGAGTGAATGATTCAATGACTCACTCATAAAGAGAGTTATTTGTTTTGTTCTTGAATGAATCTGTGTTTTTCAATGAATTGTTGAGTGAATGATTCAGTGACTCACTCATAAAGAGAGCAACTTGTTTGGTTCCTGAATGAATCTGTTTTTCAATGAATTGTTGAGTGAATGATTCAGTGACTCACTCATAAAGAGAGCAACTTGTTTTGTTCCTGGATGAATCTGTGTTTTTCAATGAATTGTTGAGTGAATGATTCAATGACATGTTCCTGAATAAACAGTATTTTTTAATGAATCGTTTCAAATGATTCAATGACAAAATCAATCACTTGTTGTAAGAGTCACTAAAAAATCCTCACCACTAACACAGACTGACTGTCTGTTTGAACACAGAAAAACAAAGTGATACAAACTGTAAAAAGTGCTGTTGGACTGCATATCAGTGCTCTTGGAATGCTGCTCAGCCAATCAAATCTGAGGACTAGAACCGTTGTATAAAATAATATTTTCTATGGTAATTGACATTATGCCACAAATGCTGTCCAACTTAACTTTTACTGAACCTGAAACGCTCCTCTAATACTGCCAATATCCTTTAGTAACATTAATGACATGAGGGTGCGGCCTGCCCTGGAAGATCCTCTGTGAAATCTATTGTGTCTTAGAGATACAGAACATTATGTAGATGCCAAGAAAATATGATTTGCTTTTTCCTTCAGTCAGTTACAGTTACAGAGAGCAATATTGCTTCCAAAAACAGCAGATGACTTGTCCTTCAATGCAATGAACAAAACTACATTTGTGTTTTGATGAAGAGCCTCTTCAACAGTTTGCCCTGAAGATTGTGTTTGTTTTTACTTTTTAATAGAAGCAAACAAAAGTGTCTAGGCACTTTTAAATGAGAGCTACTTATATCTAGGTTGACGAATAGCTTGTTTTTGTGTGCAGACTGAAGGAGGGCAGGATGGTTTGACAGGATCTATTGAGGGTATGAGCAGGTGCAGAGAATAGGATAGGGTACAACGGGGCTAAAGGCCCACCTTAAGAAAAAATGTGCCGGTTTTTTAAATAATGACTAAATTAATACTTGTTCAAAACAATCACTTTAGCAAAGTTTGTACTATTTTCTGCTTATTTTGAAAAATAAATAAAAAATTATTTTTTCAATAAATATACTGTCATTAAAATGTTAATATAAAAATATATTTTAATATACAGAAACAAAATCGTTTTAATAAGTAAAGATTCTGAAAGTATTGAAGGAGATCCAATAATAATTGAATATATATTT